TTTATCATTATTTTCTTAAATGCAACATCTTTAAAGCTTTACAACCTTTATCCAAGGTTTTCTTTGAGGCTTCTTTTACCTCTTTGTTCCTGAGACTATAGATGAGAGGGTTCAACATGGGGATAACCACAGTGTAAAATACAGAAGCCATTTTGTCTGTGTCCAAGGAGTGGTTAGATTTAGGCTGTAGGTACATAAAGATTAGTGTGCCATAGAAAATAGTGACAGCCACCATATGGGAGCCACAGGTGGAGATGGCCTTGTACCGTCCTTGTGTGGAGCGTATCTTCAGGATGGCGGCAATGATAAAGATGTAGGAAATGAGTACAATCAAAGAGGAGCAGATCATATCAAAGCCAGCAAAAGCAAAGATCAGAATTTCCTTCCTGTGTGTGTCTGAACAGGACAGAGCTAAGAGGGGAAGGTCATCACAATAGAAATGGTTAATTACATTGGGGCCACAGTAAGTTAGACGGAAGGTGATGATGGTGTGGAAAAGGGCAACCAGAAAACTGTATATATATGGAACTGCAACTAATTGAATGCAGACTCTTTTTGACATCAGTACTGAATAATGCAGGGGATTACAGATGGCTACATAGCGATCATATGCCATGGAGGCCAAAAGGAAACATTCCGTGATCATGAAGGTAAGAAAGCAGCCCAGTTGTGTTGCACAAGCTTGGAAAGGAATAGTGTTATGTTCCACCACAAAGTTCACCATCATCTTCGGGGTGATGGCAGAAGAGTAACAGAGGTCTACAAATGCCAGGTGGCTGAGGAAAAAGTACATAGGTGTGTGGAGTCGAGTGTCAATCCTGATTAAGATAATCAATCCAATGTTCCCCAGAACTGTGACCAAATAGATGAGTAAAAATATCACAAAACACGGGGCCTGGAGCTCTGGCCTGTCAGTAATTCCTTTGAGAATGAATTCAGTGACAGAAGTGACATTAACAGATGCCATTTATTCCAGTAGATGTTGCTGCAGTTGAATTAAAATGGCAAATCTCATGGCCCCTGCCAGTGTTGAGGGAAAGGGATTATTGATGTCTTGAATTATACTTTGAATTATGTCATTAGATGGGCAAAAATTCACCTTAGCTTTAACCTGCCATTCTTGCACCAGGGAAGGGTGTCTGTTATTTTCAGAATACCAAAAAAAGACCAAACTCAC